TGCAATACAAACCCCATGAGCCTCCACTTCCTTTGTGAATGCTGATATCCCATTTCGTCCATAATCATTGTCAGACTGGATAACTCCAATCCATGTCCATCCATATTGTCTGACAAGGAAAGCCAAAGCCTTTGCTTGGTAGTAGTCACTTGGTATTGTTCGGAAAAATGTAGGATATTTTGTTTTATCACTCAGACATGCACATGTTGAAAAATAACTCACCTATTCAGGGACAAAGAAGTTACGATTATCAACACATTGTATAATGCTGCATTTTTTGCATTAAAAGGTTTTGCATAAGTATTGTATTGCATTACCAGTGGTATTTTGAATGGTCCAACAGCCCCAGCCACAACTAAAGACTGGGTAGATCCTGATTCAGCTATAAGAGCTAATATGGGAGGTGGATGACATTGAGAGAACCTTTGCTCTGATGTGCTCATCAAAGTGAGGGCAGCTCTCAAAACATTAGTAGGAGAGGAACAAGAGTCCACAATTATATATCCTAGAGAAATGTTAGGAAGCAAATGATCATCTCGGTTTATTTCATCTATTGCAAACATCATGGTCCTCGTCCAGCGAAATGCTCGTAAGTCAAATCTGTGGGGAACATTAGGTCAGTGAACAATACAAATGTAAAGAAGGCTCATAAATTAATCTTCAGGTATATTTCAGCTTAATATTATTTTAAACTTACCCTTTACATTCTGCCATTGGTGGTTTGTTATCAAATGAAAAAAGTATATTCTCCTGTCTTGAATAAACTGGGAAAATGCCACCTATCATAATGTCACCTTCCTTCAACACGCTTTGCACTTCAAACTTAGCCAGTAGCTTACATGCAAAGCCTGTTTGTGTACAGAGCAGAAAACACAGATGAAATATATTAGGTATATACATGTTTGGTCAGCAAATTGAAGAGGACAAGAATGAACACTCCTTGTTTTATAAACAGTGTCCCTGCTTACTGTGCATGGTGTGGCTTGGTTTTTAGAGGTGTGTCAACTTTTCCTGGTATTGACTTTTCCTTAGAGGTGAGAGAGTTGCCACATACTACGTATTTAAAATATAAAATACTCCATATTTTAATGTTTCAATATCTTCTTTGCATTGCAGAGTATTCATAATGCTTAGTGGATGCCAGAGTATATGGGCTTTTGCAAGTTTTTTTTTTTTTTTTTTTTTGGAGCATAATTCTCACTGCAAATATACACTTATTAAAGTCAGGTTTTTAAATTTATTACCTTGTTAAACTATATTGCATGCCTTACATGGTTGCTTCAGATCCACCGCAGCCACAACCCTGACCAAGTAAAAGAACTTATTAAAGATGAATGAATGAAAAAAAATGAATGACTGAATGAATAAAAAAAATCAAAGATAAGCCCGAACCCTTTTTTCGGTATCTTACATCTAAAATATGCTTGTCAGCTGTAAGACATTACATTAATGTTTACAAGATTGATAAAGAAAAAAAAATAGACTGGCACCAAACTGCCACTGTTTGCCTTTTGTGCATTTTTGATTATTTACTTAAAATTAATTAATTTAATTAAGATCAATTGCATAGATGCAATTAATTTTAAGGATGACATTTTGTATCTGTTTTAAATAGTCCCAATTTCACTTTTTTTGTTTGTAAAAGTAATTAACTGTAAGTGACACTTGCCAAATACTTACATTTTAAAATAGAACCCACAATTACTGAAGCTTTCTTTATACCAAAGTGCAATTTCTTCAATGCATTTTACAATGACATTGCAAATGTAACATACAGTATGTGGCACATGCCTGCACTGTAGTGCAACATATAATTTGAAATCACCACCAGAGACCACTCTAGACTATAGACTTGTATATGTTATAGACTTGAATCTATAAGAATGTGGAAAGAATGAATCTGGTGGTGAATCCAAGCAGTACACCAAGGTTGTCATTTTTATGCCCAGTCTATACTGAAAAATTCACTTTACATATAGGAGACTAAAAATGGGACATCCTGGCAAATACAGCACAGTTGGGAACCCTAGGATGAATACTGCACCTTTTCCTCAGATTTCACAAAAAATATTGTCCATAGTCTGTATGACAAACCATTTTACAGTAAAAATAAACACAATCGAAGACCTATTACTATTTGCCCCAATTCTAATTATGACATGTTGTTTTCATCATTTGATGGTGAACTGCGCACCAATTTTGGGAACGTTTGGGAAAGAATGTTTTTGGGAACATTCATGCAAACTGTCCAAAGTGTGTGTCACAGAGTGAAATGTTTTGACCACCAGATGTCGCCAAAAAACTTTTGTTTTTGTTAACCTTGCCTAGCCTTTCTTGTTATGTCTGTTCAGCCCCCTTGTTACTCTGCTCACCTGTACCTCATTGTCTCCCTGTCATGTGACCATTTAGCTTAGTGTATTTAAGCCCAGTCTCTTGTCTATGTCTTTGCTAAGTCTTTGTGATCCCTTGTGTACTGCTAATGCTGAGTCTTTTGTTGCTCTCTGGATTATTTTGTCTGATAAGACTCTGCTTGTCTCTATGGTAATGGCTCTGGATTTTCCCTCGTTTTTTTGTCTGCCTTTATTCACTGATTTTCGTATTTTTGACTTTGGCCCTGTTTTTGACCTTGATTTTCTGGATTATAATTTGGACACAAAGGAACTGCTCTTAGTGATTTTTTGCCTCTGATTGTGATTTTTGCTTTTGTCTTTTTGCTGGATCTTCTGTGCTTTTGCTTATGGTGTTTTTGGATTTTCTGGGATAAACTCTTTGGACCTTTACTTGTGGTACTCTGCAATTGAGTCTGTCCACCCTCTGATAGCCCAGGGGCTTAGTGCTGAATTGGTGCTCCAGTGACCTGGGTTCAATTCCCAAGTCTGACAGTGTGAAAACAAGAGAGTAGTTGAAAACTTTTAAATGTTTATTCAAGTTTTAAAATAACAGAGTTTATAGTTTGTGACAGAATCTGCTTTCTAGGGAGAGGGGATTCTGTCACAAACTATAAACTTTGTTATTTAAAACTTGAATAAACATTTAAAGTTTTTCATCTATGAAGTGACTAAACAGAAATCCTTGAGATGACCAGAGGTGGTTTTTGGTGACCATATGGAATTGAAGATCTACTTGGCAGATCTCCTGGCATGCTTGCTCTCATCTTGGGCCACATTCCTCTAGTCTACCCGACATTGGATTTGAACCATTCTCCTACATGATTGTTGAAGAGCCTATATTAGAGGTGTGCATTAGGACTGAGATATTGTGATAAACAACAAAAAAGTTGATTCTGCATTGTGTGCGGGAATAGATTGTCAGACGTGAAGCTCTAGAGACAGAGAAAGGCCACATTAATTTAAATGAGAGCATATTGGGGACTTGTACATTTACAACTTTTATTCATTCATCTTCAGTAACTGCTTTATTCTAGTCAGGGTCACATTAGTTTAAATTACTAATCATGTAATTGGAGAAATAGAACCAACAAAGTTTGTCAGAAAATATCATGAGCAGGTGCAAACAAAAATAACTGTGGGAGTGGGTTGGATTGGTCAGAATTCCTTTGGGTACACCTATTATTGCTCAGAATTTTTTCAGGAATGCGCAACAGTGGGACTACATGTGAGATCCATGGCACTGCTTTGCCAGGCCTTTACAGCAGCCGCCTTCAGTTGCTGCTTGTTTGTGGGTCTTTCTGCGTTCTGTTTTGTCTTCAGTAAATGAAAACCATGCATTTAAGAACATTCCATGACTTTGCTTTAAAGAAGCTCTTGGGTTGCTTTCATGGTATGTTTTGGGTTATTATCTGTTCTGTGAAGTGCCGTTGTAACAGTTAAACTTATCTTACTCTAAGTCTCATTGTTACCAAAGAGCTCTTTTAGGGTAATCTTGTTTTGAACAGCTGCCCAACCATCAATTCAATAAAGCACGTGCAAAACATAAGACTCTCAATGATCAAGACATGTATTAATAGACACTTAGGCTTCACACAAACATTGTTCAACCCTACAGCCCAATGAACAGCACAATGAAAGGTAAATAAGCAAATCAAGTCCAAAAGGCGAGAGCTATTATAAGTCCATGAGTCCTCTAAAAGCACAGATATCCAAATACCATCAATCAGAGTCCACAGCAAAGTAGCAGTCCACAAAAAACAATAATCCCAGCAAAAAGGAAAAAGGTGTAAAAGAGGAAAAAGTAAGAAAA